ATCTCCATTTTGAAATACGTATAAAAGGAATTTTTCAATCCTAAAATAATATATGTATGTCTATTCACAAGTCTTACCAAGTATCGACTTCGAAATAGCTGTGATTAAGGCTAGCTTACACCACTAGCGGAATCAGGATTTAATTTTGGGGTGGCTTCAGCCCGAAAGCTTTTTTTTTCATATATATAAAACGATAATTAATTTGAAAAAAAAATAAAGAAACTCACTACCTATAAGGGATGGCGTTTAAGTGGTTCTTGCATCTAAATGTAATTACACGAACAAGAATACTTTAAGAGATAGTTTTAAATATTTTTTTTCTTTAAAACATGGTTGTATTTTAACATTTGGTGAAGGAGGGAGGGCTTCAGCCCGAAAGCTCCCCTCCCTTATACGATCAGCATATAGTAGTAATAGCGTAAAATTTAATTTTGGCAGATTTCAACACGAAAGATTTTTTTTTTTATATAATAGATGATAAATAGTCAGGATGCACTCATTTTTAAATTTGTATTGGTGCCGACGTTTCAACCCGAGCATGTGGATCATCATCAGGGCATCTCACTTTCAGTGCTATACTTTTTATTACCAAAACAGATCCAATTCACAAAAAAAAAAAAAAAAATACGTTTGTTGTCATGAGAAAAGAGCTCTTGATCTGTATCTTCAATTTATTCAATTATAAATACATACAATGCTCCACAAACTTCAATACGTATTGTTCTATCTATAAATCTAGTTTAGGTTGCGGGACAATCAAGCTCGTTAATTAGTTTCACGCTACATGTTTTACTAAACATATTATTGTTTAGTTACTGAACATAATATTGTTCTTCATTACAATTATAATTTATATCTCCTTTATGTTATACTTAATGGTTGAATCATGATTTGTTAAAAAAATTATAATTTGTTCAAATGATGAAATCTTATCAGTTTCATTAATTTAACAACAAATATATTTAACGTTGCATAACTGTTACGCAAGTAATGAGAGGATAACGTATTTTTTTTTTTTCTATTAGACATTACACACCTAGTAGAACTTAACAAGCCTACTCCATCTCTGCCTGTCTTGGGCTATTTCTTTCCAATTATCTGCACGCACTCTATTGCATCTTTGTTGATTCTTTCTATCCACATATATAGATTCCAGGTGGTATTCTGCGTTTTATGGAGGCACTCATCGTTACTTAAGGAAGGGTGCCCAGAAGAGGGATTCATGGCGCAAGTTGCTTCATTAAAAGTTTTGAGAGAGGCACATTTTGTGGAGATTTTGAAATTTCTACGAGGGAACAAGAGAAAAAAGATGGACAAGAACACAGCAAGATTATTGACTACATTTTTGTCTGATTCCTCTTTCGCTTGTACTGTTTTAAAAAACAGGAGAGTAATAAAATTTCGCGGAAAGGGGAGGATTTATGCGCCATCGACCTAGGAGGAATGGGCATCTCTGTCCAGATGGATTGCTATGAGCTACATACAAGATGGGTGGAGATATTAACTTCCGTGCCTTCATATCATGGGATATTGATTGACCAGTTTCTGTAAGCAGTTCTTTGTTGGTCTCTCTTCTTTATTTGTTAATACTCTGATCTCAGATCGCTCCGGTTATCGTGCGGAGGATTTTTCCGTAATAAGAATTGGAGAAAAATAAACAATTTTTCTTCGGGAAAATTATTTATATCTTATCAATTTTTTAATGTTAACATTTGTATTAACGGTAACATTTGGCGAGCACGTTAAATATATTATTTTTCACAAGAATTGCAACAAAAACAAAGAAATAAAAATAATATGACGGAAGTTATAGTTTCAGAATTTGCTACTTTTTGGCAGTTAATTATAAGGAAATTAAGATTTTCGATCGGTTCCCGTATAAGGGCGGTCGCCTAAGAGAAGACGGTCAGTCCGTCTTTCAGTCTCTAGCTAGATTGAATTTATTTTTAAAATAACAGCAATTGAAACTAAGGTTGTAAATTTATATCTACTAGATTATGGTAATGCATCCCTTCCAGCCACAAGGTTTAAAATGATTCCATACGTTCATAAATAAAAAAATCAGGAGATCTGAGTACAAACGTCTTTTGGTTTATTATTTTCAATAATCAACCATTGTGATCGAACAAAAAATTCAACAACTTAACCCCCTCTCAAAATTTGAGGTTTCACGTTTCAGGACGCATAGAATTCGAAAAACGAATAAAAAATTTTTTGTCCGCCCGCCGTCCGCCTTTTTTCTCCGAAACTACTGCATCGATTTTTTTCAAATTTTGATGTAAAATCAGAGGTCACCCGAGGACGATCCTCCTTCATCGACATTACTCTCCGCCTTTAACTTTCAAAATGGTGGCCGAAATCCTGCATTGCTATAGACTGTAGCTCCTAAACGAATGAACAGATGTCAATGAAACTTCGCTAAAGTCATTTTCTCGACGCCCTTTAAATTTATCTATAAAACATACTTCAACGAAAAGAAGCTGGAAAAAAAGTTACGAGGGATGGTAAAATTAAATTCCGAATGAATCGAAATTTCCTAAAAAAAAAAAAAAAAAATCGTTAAAATCGGACAATTAGGAGCAAAGATATGGTCTCCGGTTTTTTAAAAATATGTTCTACTCCAAATGTTATATCCTTGGTTTGGTTTTTAAATTCTTAATGCGTTACTGAACTAATGCTAATTTTTTTTAGCATATTACTAATGATTAAAGAAAAACAGTTTAGTCCAATAATTAGAATCACCTTTTGTTTTTTTTCCTTGTAACTCGGAAGGTAATGTTATTTTAGATGTATAATTGTTTGGAAATAATAAACCATTGTGAAATAATTTGCAGCGTTTTTGAATGATAATTGAAAACTTAGACGTTACTTTATTTGCTTCTTACAGATTTTGACGTCCCTATGTACTCCAAATAGAACAGGAAAGACGAGTTGTTCTAGAATTTACAAAATTATTCTGGGAGTCGGTAATTTACAAGAACATCAAGATTCATTCCGTGGGTTCGCGAAGAAACAATTTTCAACTGCTTGAACAGGATTCCAACCGAGCCAATTTTGTACTGGAGAATGGTGGAACCTTAACGCCTTCGCAGTCAGAAGAACAGTTATTGTTCTGGTTCAGGGAAAGAAGTTATATTATCTATTGCAATAGCTATTTAATCAATTATTCAAAAAGGAAATGTTTTAGTTTTAAAAAATACAAGCAAGCTTTAGAAGTATTTAGGAAACAGTGGATCTTCTTCTCATGAGCATCTTCAGATTTCAAAGGAGAGAAATTTTTTTAAAAAATTAGATGTTTTGATTGTGTAATTTTAAGGAAACAAACTTAATGACAGCCCTAACAATACATGTGGACACATAAATTACTTTTGCAACTAAATTACAAATACAAGCCAAGCAAAACATATGCATGGTGTAAGAGAACAAAGCCTCTTGGATATACAGACTGAAGTCCTTAAGTGATTTGAAGAAATTTAGGAAATTCACCAGATAGTTTTCTGAAAACAAATACAGCATTTACAATAATATTCTAAAAACGTTCTGGTGTATTCCTTATTTTATTTAAACTTAAATGGATTATGTATAAGAGATTCACAATAAACCACTTCAATGAAAATGGCACAATTAATCTATTCTCCAATTGTTAACGCCATTGCATTAATTTCTTTTATTTTAAAAATTAATTAATTTAATTGATGATTCAGTTTATTCATTAAAGTTCAAATCAAAAAGAAATCATTATTAATTTTATTGTTCATAGGCCCATAGCTCATGTTGTTTATATTCAGTATAGACTAGTTCATAGATTGTAGCCCTAGTTACATAAACAAGTCCTGGTTGAAGTGCTAAGCCCGCGGACTTCGCCAATATACAGTCTGACTCCGCCCGTGCTACCAGCTTCTATACAGCCCAACTTGATGAGACGTACTTCTCTGCTTGTTGTGCTCACAGTTGTCCATTTGCATTTTTAATTATATGAGCGCTCATAGAAAACCTATGTTTAGTCGCTTTAGGATTGGAGTGCCAGCGATGCGTCGATTTCTGTGAGCTTGAGACCACCTTAAATTGTTCAACTTTTATTGTTTTGTATAATTTTCACTTTACAGTTAGTAATATATTTGTTTATTTTTTCTAATATTGATTGTAATTTTGGGCCAGTTACATATCATTTTATTTTATTAAATATTTTATCATTTTATTTTCTTAGCAATTGTAAAATTGATTTAATTTTTTTCTTTATTATGATGTGTAATTATGGAAATAAATGCTTAATCCAAGTTATTATAGTTCACTATTTTATTATATAAATTTTTTACCAAATATTTGCGTTAAGCTCTTGTTCGAAGTTTAATTAAAACCTTGAGCGAGCTTACAACAATTATAACAAACCATTTTTGTAACATATAGAATGATAAAGTTGATTAAAATGATACACTAAGGGAGATCAGTGGGCTCTAATATGGAAGGACGGATTTTGACAAGTTTCAAGTCCGAACTAACTTTATTTGTCCATTCATTTTATTATGGCTCTTAATAATGCATTCTTGCCAAAATAAATGGCTTATCATCAGTTTCAGACACAACTACAAGATAAGAAATCGTCTGACACAATTACAAGATAAGAAATCAACGATACACATACATTTTAGTTCAAACTGATAAAACATCAACTTTAATCTCATCCTTTTTATTTGTAAGGGGAACAAAACTTTTGGTAAGTGCTTATGTAGAAAAATCACCATTTCTAAAATTTTGATAGTTCCTTATAATTACTTGGTGCTTTTTACTCACTAATAAGATAAATTCAATCTGGATCTGGCTTAAGCCTATGTTAATTTAAGAAAATCTCCAATAATGTAATCTATTTTTCTGCAGTCTTTTAAGTCAGTATTTAGAAGGTAGCGAATCTGAGGTCTATATATTTTATATATAAGTGAAAAAAAAAATAAAAAAGTGAAATCCCTATATTAATAATAAAATAAATAAAAATCCTAATGGTTCACATATCAATATTTTTATTTATATACAAAGTTCATGAATAATAAACATTGCTGCTACAAACAACACAAGTATCTTCATGAATTAAAACTTTTGTAAAGTAAAAACTATATACAAAGTTTTTACACAAACTTTACATATGTTGCTCCATTTATGATTGTAAGCTTGAAAACTTACCAAATTTCAAACTTAAAGGAAAAATAAATATTTATGTTTATTTAAAAAAAAAACTTTAAATAATTTAAAATCATTGCAGAGCAGATGAACTATATCTTTTACAACTAGATCATTATTAGTTCTCCTTTTTTTTTTTTTTTGACTTAACCTAGTTATGATAGTTAATTCACTGCAAGTCGAAACTCCAGGACAAAATATGACCTCTACAGGTGAGTATTGACTCAAATAGAATTATGTTTAACGATCTATCTCCCCAAACACAACATCCAAGGTACCTAAAACAGAAGTAATATACATTTTAATTTACAAAATACGAACCAAAAGTCATCTACATTCAAAATAAATTAGAGATAACACTGATTTTTACCAATAATGGCTACAATGTCTGCCAAGAGGGAACCTTTGCCAAGCTTCTCTAAGGCGGCAAGGTGAGCAAATCCAGGTGCTTTGATTTTGCATCTGTATGGTTTAGAACCACCATCGGAAACTAAATAAATACCAAATTCACCTGTAACAAATGAAAAAAAAAAGAAGATAAATGCAAGCGTGATTTAAAAAAGAAGTCTGTCACATGGGGTTAGCTTAATAACCATTTCTATAGGTTACATAATTTAATATATTTCAAGGTATATGATTTGTTGTTTGAGCATAAAATATATGTGAAAAGGGAGGGTGGGGCCTTCGTGGAACACAACACCCATCCGATCATTCATAACTCTTCAGGATGTTCTCCAAATTCGATGTTACTATATTTGTTATAAAGCTGAATTATTGCTCTTCAAAGCCGTATCAATGGTGTTTCGAATAAATGCCTACATAAGAAATAAATAAACAAAAACTCCTTATAGGTTTTTATTTTTTTACTCCATTTCAGTTTGTTTACAAAGGCCCTGTTGACGTCATTTCGCTAAATTTATGTGGCCCTAAATTTCTGTTACATTTCTTTTAGATAGATAGCTGAAGTCGTATGAAAGTTATAACATTTTTTGTGATTTAAAAAAAAAAAAAATCATGTGAGGGACCCAAACATTAAGCCTGGGAACATAGCCAAGGTTGTACAAATGGTTTTCTACACTAGTGTGCGACACATTTAGAGCCATAGCAGTCTCTCACACTGATTGGATGGGATTTTGATCAACAATGGCCTTAACATTCCTCATGTCAATTTCATTTGGACCACCAGAACGTTGAGCATCATTGATGTGAAAATTTCCTGAATGAAATATGGCAAACCAATTTTGACAGGTGCGTTTGTTTAAGCCATCATCTCCGTAAGCACTACAAATTTTACTATGAGCTCCTGCAGCACTCTAACCTTTTTTAAAATATACCGATAATGAATGATCTTTTCTTCCATATTCACAGTGCAATGGCAAACATAATATTAAGCTAGTTTCAACAAGAGTTAACAGACAAAGTTGTTGACATATTACAAACAGGATAAACAATCCACCTTAGAGATTAATTCAACAGATAAGAAGTGTATCATAGTGACATAAAAATAAACAGAAAAACCGAAAGGACTTATTTGCCAACCCAATACTTTCTAGGTACTGCTAATAACAACATAAAAGGGATTGTCATTACTTTTCTCATTTCTTTTTTGGACATAGTTTCATGCCCGCTGACAGAGTTTTTGGCAGAGATGAGAAGAAATTATAGAGAAAACAGTCTACAATTAGCACCAAGGAAGAATATTACAATATCTAACAAGCTGTAGGAGAGGTGAGAAAACTGGGAGATAATTGCTCCTTGTCTGATACTAAAAGTTTATCAACACAATTCAGAAACATCGACCTAATTTCTGACAAAAAGAGAATTTTCTTAAGGAAAGGAAAATCAGTGAAAAGAAAATTAATTGGTCGTTTCAAGAACCTACTGTGACAGTGAAGTCAACCAAAAACTTTAAGTTTCAAAGTCATTCCGAAAAGTTTATTTCGCTTCAGAAGAAGGATTGGTCATCTGCTAAATGTTTTTCAGTTCCTTTGGAACCTGTTCAGCTTGGCCATTCTATACAAGCAGGAAAAAAGGATATAAAATATCTACTGGAGTTGACGTACGATGACAAGACAATACCAACTTGTCATGGTATTGACTCATTGAGCAGGCGCCTGAAAGTTATTTAAATAATGAAAATGAAGAGGAAGAGCGTGAATGTGACAGCCTAGAAACAGAGATTGGACTTCATATCTAAAAGTTTTGCTAAATCCAGGTTCTATATTATTTAATAATTAAATGTACACATTACATAATTCTTTCTACACATTAATGAAAAATATAGATTTAATGTAGAAAATTAATTAGTAAATTTAAACATCAAACATTTTTTTTAAAATTAAATCTATATTTTTCATTAATGTGTAGAAAGAATTATGTAATGTGTACAAAGCTATTTTTATATAGGTAATGACTCTTTTGTGTGAACTTAAAAAATAAACAAACAGTATTCTATGACTATTGTTATATTTTTTGTTTTAATCAAGCAAAAGCAAACATGTCCAATATAGGTTTGTGCATAAACCAACAGGTCCATTGTGATCAATCAAAACCAAACATATCCAAATTTTAAATGTTCATAAAAGCTAAAGGATTAAAAATACATTTAAAATGTACACATATTTTGCATTATGAAGTTCATATAAGTAAAAATTTACACATTGCTTCATATTGGTATTGTAATAGGAGTTTTTTCTAAATTCTCAAAAGTTACATTTGAGTGACAGGTTTGTTTTTGCTTGGAATCTCCTCGAATATAATTTATCTTTCCATATGTTTACTATTTATTACATTTTATATCCATTATGTTCTTAACAATCAGGCACATTAATTTTAACTGTTAAATGAAATATGACTAGACCATTTGTACACTATTTCCCAAACTTCCTTAAATTTTGGGCCAAATGGAATGAGCTATTATTTGTTTTTCAACTTTCATTTATTAATCTGCATCTGTCAATTACAACCATCGACGATCAGCAGATGAGCTAGCATAATCATAAGAAAAATAAATGAATAAAAAAAACACAAGATAGGGATGAGGAAAAGCAATACCCAGTGGCATCCCTTTCATGGCTTTTACTTACATGATCATGTAAGTAGGTCCCTTATCCAGACCCTCATTGTTTGAATCAAAATACTATTTCTCAGCTTGAGGCTCAATGCAGTAATACTTCCTTGTAATGAAACCTTGTGTTGGTGAAGGAGATGGCAAAAGACTATTTTTATTACAAATGAAATAAATTTAATTTCTACATATTTGATCTTTCCTAAGCAAACTCTAAAGCTTTAGGTGACCACTTCCTTTGAATTCTGGCCTGACAGAGGCCTGATCCAAAAAAAAAACTTAAAATAAATAAATGAAACAAATGGGTAGGAAAAAGCATGGCTTCCAAGAATTAGGATATAAACCAAGATTAAGCCAGTTACAGGACCAATATTAGTATTACCTAGATGTTGCAGTAGGTTTTTGACAATTCTACTCAAATAAACTTAAAGAGATCATTTATTTAACTGCCAGAACTAACGCAAACTGGGAGACTTTTTCATGGAAAACTATACATATATAAATTATTGAAAGTGTCCAAAATTTAATCCTGGTATTCTAAAGAAAAGTATTCAAGACCTGAAGTATAAAAAATGTAATCTTCTAGTAAACATATATCAAAATAATGAGGTAGACAGGTATAATATATTTTTAAATCAGAAGTATGAATCAAATATAACAGGAAGAAACATTTAATATTAACACACAATGTTATTCAAATAGTCGTTTAAACTGAATGAGAGAGAAATTTGTAGATCTATCATTATAATATGAATATGAACATACAAATTTTAGCGAAATTCTAAAAATACTCATAGTAATCCTCTTTTATGAAATATAATTAATCACTTAATATTATAAGCTTTATATATTTCTATGTCATTTAGTTTCTAGCACTCAATTACTTGGTATGATTTAGGCAACTGATTTTAATTATGGATTGGAAAGAGTTAAATTACTGTTTTTATTTATAAGGTATTAGGCCACAGGTCACCAATAATATAATTTCCATTTTATTTCTTTATTTGTCAACGTTTTGGCTTCTTGAGCCACTCTCAAGATTCTGTAAAAAAATTTCAATTTAGTTATTTTTCTTTAAGATATTTCATTTTTAACAGTCTGTTACATTTATAGTCCTTATTCTATATTTTTATTCTATGTAAGCAAAATTTTTATTATTTAACATAATAATTTTTTATTATTTTGGGTTGAAATTAATTTTACATATTTCAGCATAAAATTATATTGTTTTTTGTTCTTAAAAATTTAATATTTAATTATTTATATATAAATTTTAGAAATCAAAACGATATTCCATGAAATAAAGGATTGATCACCAGGCGAATCATATAATGATATATTAAAATTTTTTTATTAAACAGTGCATGATAGATAGGTAAATTTTATATTAACTTTAACCCAATATAATCAAAAATTATTATGTTATATAATAAAAAAAATCTTAAATAGAATAAGGACTATATATGAGACAAACTGTTTAAAATAAAATATTTTAGAGAAAAATAACTAAATTAAAATTTGTTTATAGAATCTTGAAAATGGCTCGAGGGTGAAGCGTTGACAAATAAAGACATAAAATGAAAACGTATGCTATTAGTGATCTGTGGGCTAATATCTTTTAAATATAACATAAAAAATGGCACCGAACCTAAAAAATATGACAAGAAACTTAAATTATTATTATTTTTATATAATTGATAATATAAAAGTAAATGTTCCATTTAGTCTAATTTTTTTACTATATCATATATATCAACAGCCTTATAGATATAAAAATAATATAAAAACATAAATACGATATTAGCTATAAACAAACCTTTTGGTGCCTCCACAGCAGTGTAAGTACAGCCCGGAGGAACTTGATAACCTTGGGTGAACAATTTGAAATGATGAATAAGAGCCTCCATGGATGTCTGAAAAGTGATTAGAATTAGAAGAAATAAATACCACAAAGAAAATGTGGAACTGAAAAAAATGCAAACAAATTTTACATAACAGGTTCAACTAATATAAATAAAATCATGATTGTTGATATAGCTGATGTTAAATCTTACAGAAAAGTGAGGGTTTCTGTCTTTCGTTTATGTTTTGATACAACTTTATGGATTTGTATTAGGTAGTCAAGACTTATGAAAGGAATACAGAATTTGGATACTGTAGCCGTATAGTATCAGGAAATCGATGTCTGTACTTTTTATAGATCCTGCTGAATTGCTAAAATCTGTCCAGGAAAGCAAAAACGTTAATATATAAAACAATTATGAGGCCTATTGTGATATATGGAAGCATGGCATGGTCCATGAATAAAGAAAGCAAAAGGATATTTCACTTATAGGAAAGAAAAGTACTATGAAAAATTTATGGCCAATAAAAGTAGAGAATGGAGAATGGAGAATTATCGTATTTTAGATTTCTTATTAAATTTCTTAGACGTAGTACCTATTATGAATAGTAAGATTATAAAATTTAAAGACCAATTTTAGAACTTTTCTATAAGTAAAAATCAAAATGGGTTATAGACAGTATCTTCATAATTATTATTTAATTATAAACATTAATTATAATTATAAAAGTGTATTTTTTAAAGTTATAAAATATAATTTGTTAGTGCAGTGGGTTCCCACACGCAGCTGTATGAGCATGTCTATAAACCAGTTTCCACAATCTGCACTTGTAGATACAGCTTCTAGAATTAATTCGGTCAAATTATGCTCTCCTGATTCACTCAGACTTTGTCATAATTTTTATTTTGGGGAAGGCTCTCTCTATCCGATTTAAAGAAGGAGAGGAGGCAGGAAGATACCTCATGGTGAGACTAAATGCCGGCATCTTTTCTTTTCCTTCTGCAGCTCAATGAATCCTTACGTTATCCATCACCAAAACACTTTGTAGAGTTTCAGTAATCTCCATCTTCTCATGGAGTTATAATAAGAAATCATTAAACTAAATAGCATTTGTGATTGATTAGCTTAAATCGTGCCACCTTTTCGTTACTGATGGCCAATACAAGTGTTACATTTCTCCCTCTAACAGTAGGAACTTTTGCTATTACACACTTATTTACTCTTGACCTTGCCTGGTTCCTTCGAAGATGAAGATTAAAACCTACCTCATCAATTAAAATGATTTTTTCTCTTTCTAGCCACTCATGATTTGTGCAGGCATGTTGTCTCCTCCACTGTATTATTTTGGGGGAATTCATTTGATTTAATTATATGAATTTCAATTTATATACACCATTAGCAATTGTAGACATACTTAAATTGATGTTTCTTGGTAAAAGAATTTCTGTCATCTGCTTTAATGACCTACAAGGGTTATCTTCTATTAACTTTTCATTAGAATTAAGAATTTCTAGGGTTAATAATACTTGGCGTCGCCCCCTCCTTCTTTGTTCTTCAAGTTGGCTATCACATGGGGGACGGGGTGGCCGAATGGGCTAAAGCGTGTGCACTGCACCGTCGTTGCCTGGGAACCTGACATATGAATCAAAGATATAAAAATAGTCACGAGTTCGCGTCTCAGTGCCGGGGGTCTTTTAAATCCCCGCCCACACACCCTGGCCCGGGAAAATTCCGTATAGCCTTAACGGCGAGGAAGGGAAGGACAAAAAAAAAAAAAAAAAAAAAAAAAAAAAAAAAAAAAAAAAAAAATCCACTTTTAACATGAAATCCAGCTAAGGAAGCTGCACCTTTAAGAGAATGTCCAGTTAACTAAAATATCCTACCCATTTGGTGTTTCTAGTGTAGGGCGCACATCACACAACTTTCACTTACCAACAAACATATCTAAAATAGAAAAACGTATTTGAAGTAAGAAGTAAAAACTACAGACTATATAAAATACTCATTTGAAATAATTAGTCACCATACAAAACATTGTGGCCCATGTTCAAAATACATTATTAAAGAAAATTAAAAGAAATAAAAGAATTAGATGAAGGTTAAAAAATAATTTCTTGCTATTAGATAAACAAAAAAACAATTAAATTGATAGGAAGTAAAAGTAAATCCTAGTAAAATTGGATTTTGTTTAAAATCTTAACCTCACAAAAAAATAAAATAAAAGTGGATCATTAGTAAAAATTCTGATCTTTATCCAAAACATTTATGTATATAAAAAAAGGTAGAAGGTAGCCAGCCTGCTAGTAAAGAGGAAGGAGAGAAGAAAATGAGTTAACAAATAGTGAGTATCAACTAGACGAAGACAAAAAAATAATAGAACAAGAGAGACAAATAGTCAGTGTCAGTAGAAGCTTGTGGAAGTTGAATGCAGCAGTATAGAGGAGAAATAGCTGCAGAACAGGGCGAGTGAAGAATATATATTGACAGTTCGAAAGCGTGCCAAGAGTAGACTCCGACAAATTTAATGGAAATTTATAAAAGTTTCGATAATTAATGTATGCCTGTGTATTATATAGTTGAGGAATGTGTGTAAGTTGTCTCAACCCAACATGGGAATAAATTATTGTGTATAATAAATATTATTTGATTAAGAAACTGTTTGTTTACTTTTCGAAGAGAACTTAACCTTACAACATATATATATTTTTTTTTTTTTTGGAACATTTGAGATATCCTGTGCATAAATAACATTTATTTATTGATAAACTTAACACCATACCTTCATTTCTTGTCGTGAAGGAGTACAGATCTTGTTGTCATCTGTCTTCACTTCTCCTTCTGGCATTTTGTTCAAGCACTGTTCGATGATCTTAAGAGATTGTCTCATTTCCTCGACACGACATAGGTACCTGAAACAGAATTAGAAAATATATAACTTAGTTTTGATTGCTTTTCTATAAAAAGCAAAAAAAAAAAAAAACTCAGACCTGTCGTAACAATCTCCTTTCGTCCCGATGGGAACATCAAAATCTACCAAATGATAAGCATCGTAAGGTTGAGTCTTTCTTAAATCCCATTTGATTCCAGAGCCTCTTAACATCACACCACTTAAAAACAAAAAATAGATAAGTTTTTTATTTTATATTTAAAGTCAATAAAATAAAAATTTATAAAAGAATTAAATAAATAAATAAAATATTATTCATCAAGTAAACAAATATTAATCAATAAATAAAGAATTCTATTACTGAAATATCATTGGTGTAAGCCAGAGTCTCCAAACTATGGCCCGTGAAAGTATTTTTGACTAAAGTTTTAAAATGACTAAATTTAGTAAATCACTCAAACACAAGGTTATTACGGTATTTACAGCATTGGATGAGTTGTTTCTCTTAGAAAGCTCATTTCACAGCTGAAGTGTCATTTATAGAACAAGCATTGTTTTTTCATCAAAAATCATTGCCCATGAGACTCGGTGGAAGTCTCAATGCAGCCTGCGGGCCAACAAGTTTTGAGATCCCTGGTGTAAGCTATAGATGTTTAGTTAATTACTTATTATTATAATATTGTTGAATTTTATATTATATAAAATGGAAAAAATCTTACATCTTTTCTTAATTTGAAAAAAAAAAAAAAAAAAGAGGAATATTATAAAATTTCTATTCTATTCACCAAAATTAAAATACACTAGCTAAACAGAATTGCCTAAAATAGAGTTTTTCATTTCATTTATATTATTTTTGCACTAATAACAATTAAGAAAATAATTCTCTTGAGTCTACTTTTTGATAAAGAAAAGGATTTTAGAGAACAAGGATAGTAACTTTGGATGACAGGAGGAGGGGGCAAGATCACATGATCACACTGTATATAGTATGTGGAAGTTTGCCAAGTTAGTTATTATGGAGGCGACCGATCTCCTGACTCCTAATTATCTATGATTCAAGAAGACACCATTTTATTACTTACATTTTTATTATTCTCACTTACATATATATATATATATATATATAGGTAAATGAGAATAATAAAAATGTATATATATATAATATAATGATCAAAAATGAATAAGAATATTTCTATTTGATGCTTATAGATTTTTTGTTTGTTAGGTATTCTCTTATTTGTTGATAAACATAAAAAATAAACAAGTATTTTTTATTCAAACTAAATTATTAACTAATATGAAGAATACTCATTTTGTAAACAACAGTTGTTTTTGACTTTTCTCAATTTTAATCCAGTAATATTCTGTTTAACAAAGGAAAGACATCATATTAAACCAGAAGTTCACAATATAATTGTGAGAATGAGCGGTCAAGAGCACCAGAAGTGGATATTGCCAATTCAGTTTGCATCTCCCAGATTATGGTCTCCCGAGCTTTAACTTAAAAGTTTCTAAAAACGTTTTCATGCGAAATATTGAGAATTTACTAATATAAACCTAATAATATACAATATTTACTAACATTAAGTTACTCTTTCGAAGAGTTTCATGTAACTGTTTGTTGTAATCTGATAAAACTCGGAATATTTCCAAAAAATCTATTTTTCCCTAGAATCACCATTATTATTTGGTACTATACACAGTCCTAAAAAGAAAAACATGGTAATTCATTGTTTTAAATGAAGTTATGCTATCATTTTTTCCTAGTTTTCCCTACATATGAAAAGACTTATCTACTCTAAGGGTGGTAAGTGAAAGTTGTGTGATGCATGCACCACATTTTTTTTTTTAATATAGATAATAATCTGAAATGATTTAAACATAATATTGAGGTTCTATTATACTGTACATCGAATAGCAAAATAAATACAACTTTTGTATAATTATCATTATCTTAACAAGCAAAGATAATGAGAATCATGAGCCTGTCTGCATATACTGTTTTTTGGGTTATCAATCAGTAAAAATGTTTACAAAGGCAGCTATCCAATTGTAATAAATTAGGGAAACAAAATAAAAGTTAAAAAAGTAAAGACAATCCTGAAAAACCTGGAAATTTCAATATCGAAGAATTATAAGAGGCTAAAAAAATATGTTATTTTTTAATATTTATTAAAATTAAATAAATCCTGCTATGAGTAAACATTTCAAAATCAAAGAATCAAAGGAAAAAAATGTAATCTAATTTAAAATTGGTGTTATCATAAGGTCGTATTATCAGACACTTAGCTATTTCTGGGACTCCAAGTAAAGTATGATCGAATTGATCTTGGTACATATTTCATTCTAATATGATTACTTATCAACTAGTACAGATTTTATAACAGCAAATATTTAAAATTAGAAAATAATAAACAATAACAATTTTTTTCAACATTTGCCTCATGAAGTTTCACACGATTTTTATTTCAATGCTTTCATTACTGATAACAGGCAAATTACCTAAATCCCAGATTAAGTGCATCCTCAGCAGAAACAACTCCAATGTCAATTGTCCTCTCCTTCCAAATTCTGTTATTTGTGAGCATATCTTCAGTCTCATCAAGTCTTTCAGCAAATTTTGAAATAAAGTCGTAAATATCATCTAAAAGTCCCAAGGGTAAATCCTATAACATAATTTCAATCCAATAAGCTTGTCTATGTCACTATTAACATTCTTTTTTATGTAAGAAAAAAAAAAAGAAACGAACCAAAGAAACCCCGCCAGGCCTGATGTAGGCAGCATGCATACGAGCTCCTGAAACCCTTTCATAAAACTCCATCATTTTCTCCCTTTCCTCAAATAACCAGAAAAACGGTGTCATGGCACCAATGTCCAAAGCATGTGTTCCAACAGCCATAATGTGATTGAGTATCCTTGTTATTTCAGCAAACAATACTGGAAAACGATGAACCAAATTTAATTTCTTTGCAACCATTTGAATTCTACTTAAAAAAAAAAAAAAATTAAAACCAATACATTTTAATACATCAGTATCATCGATGACTTTCATAACATAAGGAATACTATTATTAAATTTTTGTTTACAATAAGGTTGATTAAACCTTTAGCAACTGATTAGTTTAATAGGTGTGCTAGCCCAGGTCGGCTACTATCCCCACTGGACTGAGTCCTATTTGGACTTTTTTTTTCTTTTTCCATATAATATTCTTTTAAAGTTTTTCACCCGATTTTGGAACAACATAGGTGGATTAAAATATTCGATTTAAAATACCAAAAACAACACAACGGAAGAGCTACTAAAACTACATCTATGGACCTAATCCATATTAAAGTGAATGTACTTGAATATTTACTTAACCACATTGGTAGATTGTAAGATAAAATGTCTAAATTATTTAAACTTCAGATATTAATCAGGCGCCGTCCACTCAACGATGAAACTCAAGACTTCTTATGTGATATGCACCAATGCATGGGATCAAATATACTTGCCAGGGTCTCAACTACACTAATTTTAAATATTTATATGAGAAGGAGTAGGGGGGTCAAATAAATACTAAATTATACAAACAGTATTATTTAATTGTTGCTGACGTTTCGACCCACTTTGCAGGTCTTCATCAGGGCGTAGGATGTAGCACTGCGGAAGGCAGTTGAAACACTGCTATATCCTCCCGCAGTGCCCTAATGAAGACCTGCAAAGTGGGTCGAAACGTTGGCAAAAATTAAATAATACTATTTGTATAATTTATTTGACCGCACCCCCAGATCAACTCCTTCTCATATTATATCACGGTCAACCATCATTTAAAATATTTATAGATGATAATTCCATTGGATAGGGTTATTTTCGTAGACAGTTTTTTATTTTTAATATATTATTTTAACACTTTTTATATTCATCACATGATTACAAACTTACTCATGATATGATATGAAACTAAAAAAAAATTAAGAATAATTAAAATATAATAAAGTTTTGTTTCTCAGTATTTTGAGATCAGATAGCTTTAAAACATTAATGTGTGTGATCTCACTGAGTAATTTTAACTACCAGACTTAAAAAGTTGGTCAAGCCCTTTACTCAAAAACTATATAACATATCTTTTAATGGACAGATTAAACTTTATATGTTTTTTCTTATGATGAATTAGAATCCTGAAACATCAGACTGAAAGAATAAAAAAAAAAAAAAAACTATAGAAAAGAGTTTTTTCAATCATAAAATCCACAAATCTTTTTTTATAACCACCATGACTATAACAAAGATATAAATTAAAAACAATAATAAGTTACTATTATTATAACTGCCATCGATAATCCATATCCTAGAAACTCTATAATCAGGGAAATACTCAACATTTGGTGGAAGGTATAAAATAAAGGAATATTAGTAGTGTTGGTATGGCTACCAGCTCATTGAAGAATTTTAGGGAATGAAAAAGTTGACGATGCAGCCTATTTAGTAAGAAGTGAAGGAGAAGAAGAGGAAGTGACTAGATTGAAATATATCACTTTGAAGACTGGGTATACGAAACAAAGAAAAAACAACTGGCAGAGCGGGAAAAACAATGGAGAATCAAAGAGTGTAAGCTGAAAGAAGTGAAACCTAATTGCGATAAATTGCTGACTAGCAGCAGAAGTTCCAGGTGTGAAGAAATTATACTGTGCTGCCTTAGGATTGGGTACTGCCAGTTCACCATTTTTTTTTTCCTCTTCCTTGCCTTTAAAGTTATACAGGGTTTTCCAGGGGTGTGGGCAGGAATTTAAAAGACTCCCCGATACCGGGACGTGAACTCATGACTATTGTCTCATAGATCAAGTTGCCAGGCAACAGTGGTGCTGTGCACACACGTTAGCCCGTTCGGCCACCCCATCCACAAATTCACCCAGAGCTATCTTTTAAGAGGCCAAGAAGATCCTACTTGCAAAAAATGTAATAATACATCTCTGACTGTGAAATAGCTGCTGGTAGAATGTCCCCAATTCGAAAGACACAGAAAAAATATAGATCTAGGAAAAACACTAAAAGATATTCTACAAGATAATGAAGAGCGAGTCTTTATCGTATTTCAATTTTTAAAGATTCCAAATTACTATAATAGAATATAAATTATAGAAAACACCAATGACCCTTTAGGGTAGAGGTGAGAAAAAGAGAAAACAAAAAAAGTTACAAAAAGTATCAAATACATATACAATACATACAAACCTCTTATATATTTTGCACGTAGAGGTACATCTATGTTCAAGAGGTTCTCAACAGCTAATGAATAGCACTGCTCATTGCACATCATTGACACGTAATCAAGGCGATCAAAATATGGAAGTGCTTGGGTATAAGTTTTATACTCAATCAATTTTTCAGTTCCTCGATGCAACAGACCAATATGCGGGTCAGCTCGAACTACTACCTATCAAATTGAAGATAAATTAATAGAAACATATTGAAAATGCTCTAATGTTGTAATAATTGTAACGAAAGAATAAAATCTACAGTTATAATTCAGCATGATGGAAATAAATCATTGGCTAAAAAAAAGAAAAATTTCCTATTAAATAAGCTAACAGTTTTATAATAACTGAAGAGTAAGCATAAATTAATGCATTTATACATAATTATAAGCTTTCCAATAGATGAACCAAAGGCAATTTATCCATCGAGTTAATGATTAAGTGGCATACGTATCATATTGGAAAACCACGGCAGCGAAGTTTGGAGTCCCTTTTTTGTCCAAATTTGAAGAATTAGCTGTTTTCTTCTAAAAGCTGTCCAATTTTTGAGATAAATTTTGATTGTTAGGGCCAATTGTGCAATTGAAGTTTAAGCTTGAACTACAGTTAACCATGAAAATCATGAATGATTGACTGTTATTCTAGCTTGAACTTGACTTCAACTCCAATTGTACAACTGGCCCTTATTGAATGTTTCATAGGTAATATAGTCACCATGAGACACTTATTACATTGTTTAGATTTAAAAAATTAAAATATAGCAATTTATGACAGTCTTCAACAAATTAAAATTCTACAGAAACAAGCTTTATAATGCTATTAAAAATATCCACTAGTTTATATAGCTTCTATACCCTCAGTAAAATAATTCTATATTCATAGTAAGTGAGATAACAATAAACCATAGTGTTTTTGCACTATATAAAAAGGTTTTGAGATAGTACAATAACGGATTAGTATAACGTCAGTTATAGCTTTATTGATTATTGTTTAGCTATTAAACTGTCGAGTTATTTCCCAGTAAGACAAGCTAATACCTTATTAAATACATTTTTATGAATGTTTACTAATTCTATGTGTTAAATAAACTATCTTGATAATATTAATGAACATAACACAAATAAACATGTTTCACAGATGTCACTTACTATACCCGTCGAATGCATTAGGGAAAACGAAAGCTATGGAAAGCTTTCACTGGGGTATACTAGTAACAATCATTTTGATTTAACACCTAGTTTTATCATTGTTAGTCAAAGTTATTGTACTAAATAATCCAAACAAGTAAAGGGAAACAAAAACATAAAAATCATGTTTAGTTCAATCATCAACATGTAATATAACTTATAAGTTAATAATCCAAAATAGCACAGTGAATCATGATTTTAATAGGTTGAAAAAATTAAATTGTGGTTATTACTACAATCAGATCATATTACAACCTACGATTTAGTGATACATTGGTTTACTGTTATTAATTAATAGGAAGGTTTATAGAGTTCTTGTCTAGTTATATTTTCAGACTTGGCTAGTTTTGGCATTACAAGAACAGTATGATACTATGGTGTTACCTAAATTTGACACCTAGCTTGCAATTGTGTATCACACTTCAGTTTATCAAGATTTATTCAAACTTACTTCACCATCAAGTTCCAGCACAAGCCGAAGGACACCGTGAGCAGCTGGATGCTGAGGTCCAAAATTGAGAGTGAGATTACGAACTGCCTTTTCAACTGGCGGTTCTTCATCAGTGTAATTGGTAATTTGCCATTTGGAAGTGATCTCATTGGTATATAACACTGGTCCCTGGTGTTTTTTTAAAAATTCTATATCTGGGTACCATTTTGAAGCATTTCTTTCTTGGCTACAAGTTAATACAAACGCAAAGATTAAATGAAATAGTCGATAAAAATAAATTCAAACACATAATTAATCTGTGAAATTATTAACAAATCAAAACCAGTCTTTCAGTGATAGTAAATGAAAAAAAAAATATTACACATTTCTACACTCATTCAAAGAAAATAAAACAACAAAACATTAAGTAAATGGTTCTCATAATATAAAACCAATATTATATGTTTTTCTTATTGGATTTTTAAAATAAACAGCTAAGAGATAAATTTCAAATGCCAGTTCCAAGAAAAAATCGAACGAAATCGTACTCAAGAATAAACCGGTATAAATGTGTAATACTTACTTGGCATAATATATAGGTGACACCTGTTTCAATGCAAGTCGATTTGATAAATTTAAAGGAGAACATCTTATCACATTCCTTCCTAAAGTAGCTGCCATTTTCGTGAGAGCAGCTGACAACAGTCAGAGAGGAGGTAGGTAACCTTCTTAACAAAAATTCAGCCAACACAATCATCAGCTTGGAAATAACATTAACTACTTACAAGAATGTACATTATTCATCTCTTTTCACGATAATTGTTCTATACACTGCATTAAAAAAACAAAAAAAAAAACAATATTGTCTAACAGTTTAAATGTATCGATGCCCGTTAAGAAAGATTTCCACGGGCCCCCTCCCATTCACCTATTGATAAACAGATAATGTCGCTAACGAAGATTAGAAATGTTGGATACTTCATTGTTATATATGCGTATGCTTTTTAATTATGGTTACCTTAGCACCCATCATATTACTCCACATTAATACCAACATTGAGCTATATTAATCCCTTGTCAAGGAAAAATAGTTGAATAATAGTTACATAATCAGTAAATAAAAGAAAATGTTATTTTAGGAGTAATTCATTATTTCTAAGTTTTGTGTTAATGGCAACGATTATTTTGTCATTGATATTGTTTTTAATAGCACTCATTATCAACACGAAGATGTCACTTTTTTGACTTAACTTTTCCCAATGAAATCAGCAACATAACAATAAAGAATATTTCATTTTCATTATTGTTCTCCATTTTGGTGACACAAAGTTCTCGCAACTAAAATATACTTATTATAGCTTTAATAATATTGAAGTATAAAATTTATCATTCGTACTATGCAATTCTATACCCACCTCCAGCCATAAGCCTCCTTTTTAATTTTCTTTTTTTTGCCCGTACGAGGCTTCTCCGTTGCGTATCTTTGGCTCTGCTTTTCAGTTTGTTACATCTAGCTTTGCAGTATCTTTGCTGTCCAGTTTTTGTAACTAATACTTTCTTGGTACTTCTCTGTGAATTAAGACTGTTCCCAAATCGATCTGGTAATCTTGCGGAGGACTTTTTTTTTTTTAAACTCTTAATTGTGAGTTTTAAAGTGCTATGTATCAACACAGGTTTTGACACGACATTGTACAATCTAAGTTAGAAATTTATAGACATTTTTAGAAATTCCACTATTTTTGAAAGGGAAAAGAAAGATTTACCTATAAGAGATTCTTATACCCTGGCTTACCTCTATTAGTTGGTCCTCAATCGAGGTCTTTGAATCTGTGTTCTGTCAAGAATTTCTTGCTATCTATGCAGATTCCATTGTTGATTTTTTTTTTTGAGTACCGTATATATTGTTTTAACTTCATTCACTTGACAATATCATATAGATTGCATCCGTGGTAAATGTTCCGTATGCACAAGGATTTTCTGTTTTGTTCTGACATCATGGTGACTCCGATAACATCCATTTTAATCTGATGTTCTTATTAAGTTTTTAAGGGTTAAGGTTAATCAGAATTGACGAGATTTCTACCTTACTGCTTCAAGCCTGGTTTAACTTCAAACGCTTGAGATTCTATTTCTTGTATCGGGGCTCTGGAACATTTCAACACGTCTTTACCAACCTTACGAACTTCTCGGTAACACTCAACTTATTCATGATGCTTCAAAGAATTATATGCTGTTTTAAAATCGACCAATAAGGAGGGGACATCCTGATCTACATCCCATTGTTTTACGAGTATATGCTTTAGCACAAAGAACTAGGGTGTTCCTTCCCTCATGTAGATCCTGCTTGAAGAACGCCTTTTATTCGGATATAAAAAAAAATATACGGATATATTAATATAGATTAACGGGCCATGGGAGGGAAAAAAACCGCATACGATGAAAAAAACGCATGAGGCGATGGACGACAATGATAGGAGCAAATGAGAGTAGAGGCCCTCCATTCTGAAATACACTGAGGAGGAAGAACAACATTCAATATACTCGTAAATAAAAAATTATAAAATTTAACACAAATAATTATATATTATGGTGGAAGAGGAGGCGGAGTGACTGAATGGGCTAACGCGTGAGCACAGCATCGCGAGTTGCCCGGCAACATAAGCGAAATTATGAGAGATTAAAAAAAGTACGAGTTCGCGTCCCGGTGGCGATGGTGATTTTAAATTCCCCGCCCTCACCCCCGGCCCTGGAAAACCCCGTATAACCTATAATGCGAGGTAGGGAAGAACAAAAAAAAATGATAATAAAAAACATAAATTTATATTGGATATTTAAATTTACAAAGTTTACTATGTACAGAAGAACAGGAATAAGTCCAATTGGTTTGCAACGGAGAAACTCAGGTACCGTAATTACTAACTCTGGTGGGATAGATGCTGAGATTTCTCAGAGTCTCATATCAGGAGTTCATGGAGAGGCTCGGAGGTAGAAGAGGCAAATCCTTCAACCAAATGAAGCTTTTAAGCAGTGACCGGGAAGAGTGGCTGCGCTGGATAGAGGCTCCTCGACGCTAGAAATGGCATTGTGAGGAAGATGAAGAAGAAGAATAAAATTGTTCAAAATAAATAAGTAACGTAATAGCTTAAAATGGGTAACATAATTCAAAGCTTTTTTTAACGGATATTAAACATCAGATTCGATCGCTCATTTTTTCCTCAAGTAAAAGATCTATAAATAGCTACTGAGTAAGAAGTCGATATGATTTTTTTTGTCAAATATTGAGTTCGAATCAGAAAAGCAACAATAAAATACTTGGGTTTCTGTCGGCCTCACTGCGCAACAGTCAGATTGAACTTTCGATTCCATGCTATTATCATAGCTATAGTAGTTCTAATTAATGAATATTATTGAATTGGATGAGAGTATAATTGACTCCTTTGGTCCGATAGCTGCCATAAGTTAATGATCATTAATGAATACAAATGAATTTAAAATGTCAGGGACTTTACAACATACAGTTCCACTTCTGTCGGAATCGTTCCTTCTAATGAAGGAATTTCGTGATGCTAGACGTTAGGTAAATCACATGCTTTATCAAGATCTAAACACCTTATTTTGCGACCGATGTTTCTAGATGGTTTTTAAATTTAAATCCGAAATAAATAACCCGACAACAGTTTAAAACAAATTACTGTTATTTGAATTAATGAAATAATTTTGAATTAAAGAGATCATTATTTCATTGTAAAGTAGGGAATGACTGCGAACAAGCTCTGGGGATCGGAATACAATAGTTGTACTGAGGAGATATAAAAATCAAATCAAATTATTATTTCTTATAATAATGTTATTGATACATCTTCAATTCTAGCAAATGATAGTGATGTTTCTTTATGAAGAATATGAATGAAATAAGTTAAGGTCTGTTAAGTTGTCAAACGGTGGCAAAAAACAACTTCACTGGAATACTCAACAAACAGGAACTTAGCTAAAGCAATTTATTACGAGAAGGGAAGTAAAATATAAAAATGAACAAAAAGTTTGACGGGATTTCTCGACTATAGAGTGACTTTCCGGGTCCCTCTTCGTGGAAGATTTAGAAAAATGTTGAGTACATGACCACCTTAAAAACATGTAATGATATTTATGGGTGATAAATATTCAGGACGCAGTCTTTTTTAATTTTTGCCAACGTTTCAACCCAAACATGTGGGTCATCTTCATGGCTGAAAATGTTTTTAAAAATTACAATCAGAGATAGAATAGTATACGACCGCTAATTATAAATACTAAGCTATAGTGATTGATGGCACATGAATCTTAAATAATATTGTAATACACATATTAAAATTAAATATTAAAATAGTTATACAAACTAAAAATAAAAAATAATGTATATAATCCAGTTATATAAATTTGTAATATTTTCTCTTACTAACCGTGGTTTGAGCACTGAGGTTGTTCAAGTACTGACACATGTTTGGTAGGTAAGTAAAAAGGTCAGGGGTGGAGGATTTCCCAGTTGTCCTTTTTCAGTTAGCAAAAGGTAGGTAAACAAAGTTAGAGAGGAAGGGGGGTAACATTTATGTTTGTAGAATATACATAACTTGCTGACAAATATTTCAGAAGTGTACAATATTTTGAGTTATTTCATATGGTTACAGAAATGTGACTATTGACTAGTATTGAAATGAACATAAGCAAAAAGTGCCAATTAATATAAATATAGCTTAGTTTGATAGCAAGTATACAAGGGTTAGATGAATAATTTTTATAATAAAGACAATTTCAATGTATGCAGATGATACTTAGGACAACATATTATACAATATTTATCATAATATAAGTTTGTGTTATATTAAGGATTACATAGGCTATTGTTTCAGGAGGCGGAAAATATTTGAATATGTATTGCAGATCTTTTCTTTGTCTACTTTATGGTTTACCGGATTATTTTTTTCCAAATTAATGAATATAGATTTCGATAGTAGTCGTTTTTGTTGTAATGATATTTATTTAGTATCTAACATGATAATAAACTTAAAAAGTTAAATTCTGTTAGATATTGTTTAGTTTGCTCGTGATCAGTAAGGATTTGTGTCAGTTTGTAGTCGGTGCTGTATAAGCGTTTATAGTTATGGTGTGTGATTAGAGGAATAAATCTAAGAAGGATTGGAGATTTTGATGAAGCGGTCAAAGACTTCGTTCCATTTGACTATTGTATCCTTTCAGAGGTCTGACTTTACACATGAAATTGGAACCATACTATATGATAATGGAAGCTCACCTTGATCAGCTAACTATGCAAGGCAATTCGCTTCTTCATTACCTTCTATTCCCGAATGTCCCCTAATCCATTTTATGTTAATATTTTTTTCATGATAGTGCAGTTTACCCATATTTTTTTCTAATGTTGTTTGTAAGTTCGTCATGGATTATATATATAATTTAAGATAACAATTATAGTCGGATAATAGGTCATGAAATACACTTGAATGAGCTAAAATAACTTCTGTTTATTTGTTTTTTTCAAAAGTTTCTATCCCTGTTTTTTCAACATAAATAATGGGATCCTCTTCAGTTTTTTAATTGAACATCAATACCCCAAGCCGGGCAACATCAAGTTACTATATATACATATATATATATATATATATATATATATATATATATATATATATATATAGTAACTTGATGTCCTTGTGTTGATGTCCTAAATATATATATATATTTAAACTTAACTATTTAATTGGGAATAAGGTCACTTATTAATTATTTAATAAACTATTGAATGTTCATTTCTTCTGTTTATTGACGTTTCGATCCCGGTATTTTCTTTTTATTAGTCAACCATGGGATCCTCTTCAAAGCTAGAACTACAAATAGCTCAATCGGTACACAACATTACTTCCATGTGACTTTAATAACAATTATTTAAAAATGTTTAACCTACTTTTAAAAAATAGAGCTTCGATCAGGCCAGGGACACGCCGACAGTCTCAGCACCGTCCACTAGCACATATGTGCTATGGAAGTAATATTGTGTACCGATTGAGCTATTTGTAGTTCTAGCTTTGAAGAGGATCCCATGGTTGACTAATAAAAAGAAAATACCGGGATCGAAACGTCAATAAACAGAAGAGATGAATATTCAATAGTTTATTAGATAATTAATAAGTGACCTTATTCCCAATTAAATAGTTAAGTTTAAATTTAATACTCAAAGGTCGATTAATGAAAAGTTGTAAATATATATATTATATATATAAATATATATATTATATATATATATTATATATATATATATATATATATATATACAAAAACATTAAATTGTGATTGAAAAAGTACTACTAAACAATTATGGTTATTGCTAATTGTAAAAAATTTTGTTGAAAGGCAGATTCTGACTATTGCAAACGAAGTAATTTAGATATCATGTAGTTACATTGGTTGGCTGCCGCCTGGTGATGGGAACACTGCTATCACCTCCGCCGAAGACATCGAGGTGGGGAAGGTAACGAAAGGGTAGGGGACAGACTTCGCCGTCAGTAAGGAGTACGCTCCTGCGAGATGGGAGCCAAGCGACCCATCAGGATCGTCGTACTTGGCGCTCCTAAAGTCGGCAAGACCGGTATGTATTATATACAATTTAATTAATTATTTAATATTCAAATTATAAATTATATTAATGTAAACAATGTGGGAATAATCCGCAAATAACATTGGCCAGTGAACAAATGACAAAATAATAAATTAATTAGCATTTCAACGTACAATAAGACGAAGGAATCATTTCCTATTTTTTCGGCAAGTGTAATCGACCATGGAAAAGGAATCTATAAAGGTGCGTTTAGACATTACACAAACTAAGGGAAACACAATTATCTAATTTAACTAACAGCGACATTATTTTTAAACCAAACTATTTGTTTTATCTCTTTTGATACCGACAGGAGATGCAAAATATCAAAAACAAGAAAAAAAATACGAACATAGTGAAATAATCAATTATATAGTTGTTTGAACCATAGTTTTTGAAATGGCTAAACGCAGCTTAAAACCTTACTCGTGTTATATATCTCAGCTGACAATATTCCGAATTCGATGAGTTTTTTTTCCGAAAAAAAATTTCCGACATGCGGTTTTCGACGGATCTATACGTTTCAGAGCCTCCTGAGTCCGAAAAACACATTTTTAGCCATTGGTCTGTCTGTGCCAAGATTTTCCCTGGGAACTACTTAACCGATTTTGTTGCTTCTTTTTTTATTTTGTAGGGTTTTGACTACTGATGCCTATGACAGAAATTCGGTGTTCCATGCGCAATAGCTTGCGCGCAATCAATGAATAACACGTTTTTCTATAGACTGTAGCGCAAAGACGGCTCTAACGATTTTGATGAAACTTTCTTATAATGTTCACACGCCGTTTAGCATGTTTTAGAAAGGTGATGAAATTCCCTACAAAACTATATAAAAATCGTTTATTTTGGACAACTAATAACGAAGTTACAGTTATTCGATTTCCAATGTGAGATTATGGATTCATATCCTGGTGTCAGAAAGGGGTGAATGAAAGAAAAAATAATGGGAGTGGAAGTAAGAAAATCAGTTGCCCGCATCACACTATTTCCTCTACTTTTAACAGAAATTATTGTTTGACAATACTAAGCTATGACAAAAAGTTTTTGATCAGCAATATTAGAGAGTATTGAAATTTTTACACTGATCTACCTTAAGCCGGTTTACATTGCTTTAATTTATCAAATAAATCGTACTCAAATCTTTTCTTTGATCAATTTTCAGGAAAATAAATCTAGTTCAATTCTTTTTTGGTTTCTTCATGAACTTATGTAAAGATATAAAAACTTTTCTAAAATAGGTAAAAAGTCGTCTGAGTGGACACACCAGATATTTTTTTTTGTAAGGAATTCAGTAATCTTTAAAATAATCATGGGTAAAAAATGTATACTCTTTGAGTTATTCGCAAACCGACGATGGCGTCATGATGGTAGTAGATACTCTTAGTGTAATAACCACAAACAAAGACTCGTCCGCACCAAACAAATAGATCTTGAACGAATACAATAATGGATTAGTATAAGTTGAGGGATAGCTCTGCCTTAATAGTTAATTATTAAACTGGAGGGGTATTTTCCAGTGGGACAAGATAATCATTTATTATTTTTTTTTAAATATTATTTTAATGGAATTTACAACTGTATTACATAGACAATACAATAAGCAAATATGAAATTGGTAACATGACATGTACATGAAGAGAAACTACCCATTGGTAGAACTCAAATAATCATTTATTAAGTAAATTGTTACTTTTGCAGTCAAGGCATTGTAGGAAGCTTTGTCGATTGTGAGTGCTGAATGGACTATCTTGATAATATTATATTGCATGTTATGTCGCTTACTTTGCATTGAATATATTAGAAAAAATCTGGTGCGCACAACACACAACTTTCACTTACGAGATACTACAACAAACGATTACGAGATTATCATTGCCTGCCATAGATGCGTCAGAAGTAGACACATTATTTGTAAGTGGATACTGTTGGGATATCACAAAAGGAAATTTCATCAAACTATTCACTAATTTTATTTTCTAAAAGATTACATGATGATTTTACGGAAGAAACGGACGATAGATACCTAAATATTTAAATATAATATCAGATCTAAAGTTAGTAAACTACAGTAAATATACTTAAGGTTATAAACGTATCTATGAAATATTTGTATATTTCACTTCTTTCTTCACACAACTGCAATGAAATAGTAATGGATACTGTTGGAATATCACAAAGGGAAGATTCATCAAATTATTTACTAATTTAATTTTCTAAAAAGTTACATGATAATATTTCGGAATAATCGAACTTTCATACATAATTATTTAAATATAATATCAGATCTAGAATTATTAAACTACAGTAAATATATTTAAGGTTATAAACATATGCTTTATACAACCATGAAATGATTTTATATTTTACATATTCTTTCACACAATTACGATGAAATAGTTCTAAACAATGTCATTGCCTTGATTAGGTGGATTTCAAATAATTTTTTCAAGCTTAACAATATTTTAAAAGTTTACATTTGGTTAGTACATTTAATTTAATTTCCTTGAAAACATGTGATTTACATTAAATGTTATTATTTTTCTAAAATTATTATTTATAAGTTTTTGCCACTCTCCGTTACTTTCTAGAACTGTTTATAATAGATATTGATTTTTTCTAAAATTCCCCGCTTTCCAACGATATATTATAGCTATACCTTCTGACTAGTATTTCCGGAAATTCATTTTCGACCTGGATAAGCATTATTAATTTTTTCTCATTTATTCAATTATCAAATTCTTTCAAAAGTTATATTTAGCATTTTTTCGTAATTCTTAATAATGAGAGATAGTTAATTATTTAAAATTAAGCAAATTAAAGGTATTTTAGAGGAAGACATGTTGAATATTTAAACATTTAAGCCCTGTAAAGTGACATCAATGGAGAAAAGAATTCAATGATATCAATGATCACATAATTATACAATGATACACCGAGGTACTGTAAGCGAGGGGATCGTTCAGCATTTCAACCTCTCTATGATAGGCTATTATTCAAATTTGAATCTTAACGCGACGCCATGTAAGAGAAGAGAATAGGAAAAAATAGTGTCGAAACCCAAATGAAAATGAGTTTTATGGAATATATGGATTAAAATATTACAGAAACTAAAATCAGACCTGAATACTGTAAGCGAGGGGAATTTACACCATTTCATCCTATTTATAATGAGCTATTATTTATAATTTATTTTTCATATTATTAATCTCGTCGTGTTGATGTTATCACGAAAAATCAAATACGCAAATCTGGAACTCATTCACATTTTTATATTACCTGGTGATCAAATCTCGCGGATATCAAAACTGGAAATGTTTTGGGTTTACTTTTCGAATAAGGCTTCTCCTGAAAATTTTATTCTCAAATGAACAATTGTTGACCTTGAAATATACTTCGTCTCTCTGCATCTGTTATATATAGGAGAGGTAAGTAGCAAATGAGATGCATAAACGATAATTATAGTATTCTAGGCATGAGGAAAGATGGTAGAACCCAACAAGTCCTTCCGATCTTGATTCAGATCCTTAATTTAAGATATGATTTCTCTCATCCAGTTCCTTTTTAGTTTCCTCCTAATGAACATAACAGCCGTAATTATACAGCTTATAAGTCTGTTATATCTTATATAATAACTGTGTTATTAAGTAACAGTTTATTATCAAAACAGGAATATACTGTACGTATATGATGGTTGTTGTAAGTCGGTAAATAAAATTCTGTTATTTACGTAGCAAGGTGCGCCTTAAAGTTTTGAATTGAAAAGGTTTCTGTTTTTTAAAGTGCATCTTTTTGCTAAACCAAAAATCTATTAGGTCTTTTACTTGAAAAAAAAAATTAAAAAAATAAAATTTCAGTATTATGTTTTAAACCTTTCTATCCATTCCGATGTGTGGGCAATAAGTTATCCTTTTGTATAATGATAGTTTCAGATGAAGCCTAGGGTCAATCAGAATAATTTGTCTGTCACCATAGTATTACTTACTATTAATTACGTAAAAAGGATCGTATCATTTAATATTTATTTCATGGTTTTTATATTTAAAAAAATCTTTTGAGTCGAAAAAATAAACTTTATTCAATATAATATTGATATATTGTTACTAAACTAAACAGTAATCAGAGACCAGAATGTTTAACCTAATTTACAATATTATATTATAAACACAATTAATCGTCAAAATATTTGTAACCATTTTGATGAGTAGATTTATTTTATTTAATAAATTTATTTGATACAAAAAAAAAAAAAAACATTTTTTTTCTAAAAACATAAATTTTCTTTAAAATTAATGAGGCTATTTTTTACTATTTGGTATAAACGAATTTTTCATAATTATAAATTATTGAGGATGTTTTATTAACGAAATAATTCTTAGATTAAATTTTAATTCATCTAATGAAATGAAAGAAAAAGTTTTTTTAAGTAGATAATTCCACTTAAAAAAGGTTCTAATGAGATCTAGATAATTTTTTTTTCTCGAAATAAAAGTTTCAATAATTCATTAATACTTTCTTTATGTTAAAATGACAAGTTTTATACTGCATTAAAGATTTATTCATTAATATATAATTAAATTTATTTAATCCAGTATATTATTTTTCTTCAATTGATATCGAATGATTATATACGCAATAGTAATTTTTTATATAATTTGAAGATATTAATCACAGAAAGCATAATTGGCAACCAGGTATAAGGATTTTTTTTGACAAATTAGAACTGTTATTTAAGGCCTAATATGGCTGATTGTATCTTTAATAAAAACGGAATATCTTTTGATGTCAGACATTTTTATCAAGTACTATTATACATTTAACTAATTCAAATGATTTTATAATTTACAAAATACCCTTGATGTTGGAAATTAAACCCTCTTTAAATTAAAATTTAACAGGACACATTTAATCAGAGACAAGACTAGTTTAATCTGCGAAGATTGCAGGCTTCAAAGCTTTGTTGGTCCCAAAGAGTCTCCTTCAAACATGGGCTT